TACAAGCTTTAGACAAATCCAATGGGTTCAACAAACAGAGGTTTACTTTTCTCACATTTCAAGAAGTTTGAAAACTTCAGATGTGGCACAGGTTGAGGGGCTCAGTGAAGCCATCAGGGACTTAGTCCGAAGATCACCAATGCACACAAGGTAAGAGGGAGGAAGGAGAACGGGCCGAGCTATGTGCCGTGGTCTTCCGCGTCAGGGCTCATGAGCCAACCCTAGCTGCCAGGGAAGTTGACAGCTAGGAAGTTGACAGAGAGTTCCCCTCTGGGGCTGGGACAGGTTTCCGGCTCTGTCTGGAGGAAAGAATGAGGGGATGAGTATTAGCTAGGTGACCAATGGCACTGACCACATGTTTCATCTCATGTTCCAAGGTTAATAGATTCAAGGGGGAGCTCTTTGTTAAGACTTGTCCAGGCCCAGCAGGGAAAGGCCCTTTGGTGGATCATTAACGTCTGCCGTGGCTGTGGATATGGCGTGTTTGGTGCGTATCTGCCATTTTGGTCCAGGGCATAGAGTGATCTGCGTGCTGGACCATCTGCTTTCCCCTCCACCCTCACCCCAGCTGCTCAGTGTGCTGGGAGGCAGGTTCTGATGGCCTGGACCACCAGAGCCCTCTGCCCCGACTTCCGGTTGGCTTTGGCCATTGCAAGGCGGTGGCAGAAAGGCAGAGGAAGGGAGGGGACTGATGTCAGGATATCTATCCTCTGACTCCCTCCCTTCTGGGACGACATGGTTTACTGAAGGCACATCTCGTCCTGTGGCCCACTCTGGACATCTCTCCTCTTACAGGTTCCAGTAACTGCCCCGTTCTTTACCCTCCACCTTGTTGATTTCCCCAAACTCTGTCCACACCTTTGTAAACAGTTCCTTTAATACACTGCCCTCAAATTACTCAGTTTAAGTGTCCTGTCTCTTTCCTGCACAAATCCAGATGGCGGCTGTCTGTACAAGCTTTGGGTGCTTGTTCTGGGGGAAGGTGTTGGACGCCTTTGTCTCCCTCTTCCTCAAAGTCAAGGGCAATGTGCCTCCTGCACTTGACAGATTACCTGACTTGCAGCATGTCCTAGGGTGTGATCAGAATACATTTTAATACATTTTTATTGATCAACGCCCCCACCACTCCCCACGCAATGACAGCAGCTGGGGGGTGGGCAGCTGCTTGGGCCCACAGGTGCATCTTAGCTGTGAGGCTCTGGGAGCTTTCAGGAATCAGCAGGAGGGAGCAGACCTTGCTCCTGGTTCTCTCTAGAAATCGCAGCGGGCTGGTGAGAGACCTCATTTCTAGAGCTGTTGATTGGAAGAGGCTGTGCGCCAGGTGGCTTGGAAGGCCAAGTGCAGCCACAACTGGGTACCATGTGCTCTCCATCCTGTCTCTGCCTTCCTGCTGCCCAGAGCGTTGGAGTCTACACTCTGAAAACAGGCTCCGCAGTGTATTATTAGATCCTCACCTCCCTCCCTCCTTCTCCCACCCCCAGCCCCGCCGTGCAGTGCGCCGGCTGGCGGAGGGGGTGGGGGAGGAGCCATTCAATGCCTTCGGAGCAGGGTTTCTTAAACTTGAATGAACGTGTGAAGCACCGGGGGATGGTGTCAAATTGCAGATTCTGATTCAACAGGTCGGCGTTGGGGCGGAGATTCTGCGTTTCTAACAAGCTCCCTGGTGATGCTGGCGCGGCTGATCCGGGGAACACACGCTGGGTAGAAAGGGCTTAGAGATGAGCCTCCAGTTGGTAGCCACCAGCCACATGTGGCTGTTTACATTTATTGCCTTTTCTTTGGTTTTTATCTCCTCATCTTGTCAACCCATCAGAAGCGAGCTTCTAGTGAGAGAAGCCCCATTCAAAAGGTTGATCGCTTAGGTAAAAAGAGAAGTCGGTAGGTTTTTATAAAACTGGAAAGATGAGGAGACGCACAGGGTCCAGGGGCTCCACGGAGGTTGCCGCTGCCGTCGCCGCCACCCGCGCCAGCATGACCACCGGCAATCACTTCTTCCTCCGTTCCTTGCCTCCTTTGCCTCTTTCCTTGAAAATTTTGGCCTCATTCTCTCTACCAACAGACTCTCCTTGGCAGGTGGCTCCAGGCTAAAATTACCTCCCTCGCTATCTAAATGCAATAGGGAGCGCTCTCCCCCAGCGTCTCTCTCCGTATCACACTGCACCCGGCCCTGTGAACAGGGGGCTGGAGTGCCACCGCCCGCTCCATGGGAGGGCGCGGGACCCTGTCACGGGCAACCCCCGGAATCAGATGAGTGGAGGGGGAGACACGTGTACCCAGAGGAAGAGAGCGTGGTGCGTGGAGGAACGGGGCGACAAAGCTAGCAATGTCCACTCGTCCCACGGCTGCCTTTCGCCTCACTCAGGAGCCCATCCAGCTCTTCCCCTTTAAGAACCTCTCTCCTGGCCTCCCCCCCCCCCCCGCCCCCGCCCCCTGCCCGTTAATGGCTCCCCATGGAGGAGAGATAGCTTGACATATTTTGCTGGGTGGTCACAAGAGCACTACCGCCCTCCTTGTGTACTTTCACTGCAACCGATGATCAAGGTGTCTCTGGTACAGAAGTGAAAATCAAAAGACAGACATCCTGGCTAGGTTTCCCCTTTGCGTTCTTCAGGCATTTGATAGCATCGCACACCGCCTTGCTCAGAGAATTTATTCCAGTTGCTTGAGAGCAGCAAGCGGACTACAGGGTGGTAGGTAGCAGGAGGGGGAGGCAGCTGCCTGCCAGGGGGAAGCTGGAGGCGGGTTTGGTCTGATGCTCACTTGGGGGCTGGAAGGTCAGGACAACACAGGGGATGAGGGGCCTGTGGAAGGTCCTGTGCTGGGCATGGACGGGAAAGGCAGGGTAGGCAGGGACCAGCCACTTTTTACGTTTTTTAAAACAAGTAAATGCAAGTTATTATTATTATTATTTTTTTAGGAGGGCTAGGGGAGAATTTGGGGGTCCAAAGGTCATAAGGAGAGGCTCGATTGCATGTGGCAAAGTCCCCGAAGCCAGAGGCACAGAGGTCGGGAATATCATCTCCCAGACCCACGTCTAGCTCCCTCCTGTCCGCCCTCTTCTCACCAGCCTCCCCTCTGGGCCAGGAGAGGCACCGCCTCACACCCCATGGCCGGAGGCCGATCCCTGGTCAGAGAAGCAGAGGGGAAGGAACATGGGGCGGACTGCCTACCGAGTGCCAGGTACTTTGCATTCATGAACTCAGTTAATCCTCACCCCAGACCTGTGGTGAGGGGCTGCGTGTCCAGGTCATAGGTGAGGAGCTTCGGCTCTGAAAACGTTAAGTAAATCTCACAAGATCACCTAGCTCATCAGCAGTAGAGCTGGGATTCAAACTCAGGTTTGTCTGCAGAGCTGGCATTCTTCTTCCGTCCATCCATTATCCATCTGTCCATCTGTCTGTCCATCATCTATCCATCCATCGTCCATCCACCCACCCATCCGTTCATTCAACAGATATTCATGGAGCATCTACTATGTGCCCAGCACTGTGCTAGGCACAGAGGATGTGGGAAAGGGCGTAAGACAGACACAGTCTTTGCTCTCATGGGTCTTGCAATATAGTCGGATGAAAAAAAGTAAACAAATAGATATAACGTGTTGTAAAAAGCAAGGTGGAGGAAAATAAAGTAGGGTTAGAGGGAAGCATGCCAGGAAGGGAGGCCAGGGCTAGGGTAAGGCAAGAAAGGCAAAACCGGAGGAGGCGCCCACTCTCAAGGCCTTGCAAGTGCAGGGCTGGCCCTTGCATGACTCTGGCTCCTTAAATTTTGCACCTCTTTGGTGCCTTGCTTTAACCTCATCCAGGTCCTGCAGACAGGGAGTCACAGGAGGCAGGTGACATCTGAACAGAGACAGCAGGTGCTCTTGCAGTGGCCTTTCGGCATGTGTGCGTTATCTGCAGCGTGAGCTCTGGGGTGGGTGGGGGCACCTAGTGGAACCCGCAAAGCAGAAGGCATCCTTGCATCCCGAGAGTGCCACAGGCTGGGGGAACGCAGGGGCCAAGAGGTGAATGAGGAAGGGGTGCGGAGGCCTGGGGGGAAGAGCTCAGTGGGCAAGTATCTCCACAGCAACTGGTGCCCACGGCTGCATCCGGCAGGGGTTTGTTCTAAGCCAAGGAACAGAACTCTCCCACAGTACAGCTGCATTTGACCTCTATGCTGAGGGCATCTTCCCGAGAAGACCCGCTTCTTCTGAATCCCCGATTTTTCAGTATTTCCAGTATTTGGGGATGGGAGAGGGACGAAAGGTCTTTTTTCTTATTTCAAGCATATGCGTATGCATGCTTTTTACACATGCTTAGTTTAAATAAACTGGCCAGAAGTCTGTAAGTCCCTGTAAAAAAATGACACCAGAGGTTCCCGAAGTGGGGCGCCTGCGCCAGCAGCATCAGCCTCACGCAGGGACTTGTTAGCAAGGCCCCTGCTCGGCTCCCACCCAGACGTGCTGACTCAGAAACATTGCCCAGCCCTCCAAGCGATTCTGGCGCCTGCTCAGGTTTGAAGCCCGTGGTCTTGATGAGTGTCATCCATGAACCGTGAGAGGCTCTTTGAAGCTCACCTGGGCAGAGACACAAAAGATGGCCTCCTTGGGGCGATGGCAGCCTGCAGCCACCAGCAGCCAAGGGAGGGAAGTGAGCTGCCTGAGGTCACCTGAGAGTCGGCAGTGGCGCTAGGCATGGCCTGCAGGTCCCATTCCCACTCTGCCGCTCCTCTCTGCAGTATTTATGAACCTCTTTGTAAAGACCCTGGAGAAGCCAGGGCTTATTGCTTGCTTTTTAGTGTCAAAGACATAGGACGGTGATGCCCACATCAACATTTACAGTGTTTTTATAGTCCCCACTTGTGATATCCAACCTCCCCAAGATGGAAGATGAGAAATGTGATCATAACGGATTCGGAATGGGAGGCGGCTGGGTTGGAGCCCTCTTGCTGGGTTCGGGGGAGCCGGACAGAAATGAAGAACCAAGAGCAGAGGAAAGATTATAAAAATGTTTAGTCTTTGCTTTATTGAGTTACAACAAATGAGCAACAAGTTAGAAAAATTGTTTCTTTCCAAACTCCCTAGCATTTTATTTGTGCAGTGTACTCAAATTGGGGGGTTGGGTTGCAAACAGAGTTCATATTGCAACATTTATACTGGATATGACTCTTGGTTTTTCTTCTTTAAAAGTTAGGACTAATGGGAGAAAAAAGTGCACTCAGGAATCTAAAATTGGCCCAAAACAAACACGCCAACAACAATGAAAAAAATCAGTTCATGGTGAAGCTTCAAGCTGAAATCTTGTCAAAAAACACACTGAAAAAAGCCAGTTAGGAACAGAAATGAAAACCAAAGCGGTTCATCTTTGTACCATCTAGATAGGAAGATCTCTTTTTGTATTAATTTCATAAATGTAAAGATAATGCTAATAAACGTGAGAGCCCTTTCTGTGGATACCTAAAAAGGAGCTTAAAAAGGGCAGCCCCCCGCCCCCCAGGTCTCCCAGCGCCAGCTGGGCCCCAGGTCTACTGAGCGGCCAGGCCACTGAGGAACCTGCAGGAGGCTATTCGGGAAGCCCTGTGCGTGGCTACACAGGAACTCCAAAGGCGGCTGGGGGAAGAAGTGGAAAGGGATTTGATTTGGAAGATCTGCCATCTGTAAACTCTCTCCAGGTCGAGACCGACAACTTCTCCCCGAGAAATCGCCTACATTTCAAACTGCCTTTAAAAAAATGAACTCTCCCTACCTAAAATCCAGTAGATACAATGGCACTAATGCTAACATTACTCCCACCCCAAAATCAATAAAATAAAAATAAAAAGAGAAAAGGAAGAAAGAGAAAAGCACGCATGATCAGCCCTCCCTCCTGGAAAAAACCTTCCGGTGGTAGTGCTGGGGATGGAAATCGCGCTCGATTAAAAAGGTAGCAAAATCCCCACATGGTACAAATTGGTTCCAGTAGCGCGAGAGGTGGGGGACAGGGCAGAGGAGCAAACTATTTACAAGGAACCATTGAAAACGCAGTAGTAGGACTTTGGCACAACGAACAATTCCCACCCGTCCTCTGGGAGGCGCCTGTGAAAGTTGCTGGGTTCCTGTGCTCCGCAGAGACAGGCCAGCTAAGTAGTTCCGCTTGGAGTCTCCGGCCAGGTGGTCCACCGCAGGCCTGGCAGGGAAGTTCTCTTCTTTCTTCAAAGACGGAACGTCCCCTTCACCAGCACAGCCGTTCTGACTGTCTTTCTGGAAGATGACACAAAACCAGAGACAAGGTGTCAGGGTGATGGCGGAAGGCAGTAGGGGCTGCTTGTTCCTGGCTCTCCTGGGAAGGACCCCTTCCAAAGCCATGGGCGGGGGGGGGGGGGGGGGCGGGGCGCGGTTGGGGGAGGTAAAGGGGGGGAGGGGAGGAGGCCGGGGTGGGCAGGCAGGAGGAGAGACCAACACCCTTCAAATTTGGGCCCAGGTTAAAGTGCTTCCGGAGCCCAATCTGACGTTATGGGAAGTGCCTCCAGAGTCAGGCTTTTGAACACAGGAGGGCTTTTTGAGGGAGGCAAGGAGGTGACCTCTGATCCCTTTCATTGCTGCAAGACCCCTTTATTATTGCCGTAGAGGCAGCCAGTCCCAAAGGCTCCTAAAAGCCTCTGGAATCAGACAGATCGAGACTCTGGCTCTGACCTTTCCCACTTACTAGCCTTGAGGCTATACCCATGTGACTTATTCTGTCTAGGGCTTCATTTCGCTTCTGTGAACCATGGAAGATAATAGCATCCATCTCACCGAGTTGTTTGATTAAACAAGTTAGGACAGGCACCAGCATTTGGAATAGTGCCCGGTACACGGTATTATATGGATGCCTTCATTGTTTTTGTTAGATGGAGCCTTTTCCAAATATGTTAGGATATATAATAATAACCATAATAAGATGGGACATTTTAAGTGTATTTTTAATTTAATGTTTATACCAGCCCTCAGTGGTGTTGGAATTATTAATATTCCCATTTTGTAAGTGAAGAAACTGAGCACCGAGAGGCTAAATAACTCGTCCAAGATCACACAGTTAGTAAGCGGCAGCGCCAGGGTGCAACCCCCGGCAAACTCTAGGGCCTGTGCCCGTAACAAATGAGCAGTGTTTATTAAGAGTCAGTATGGAGAAATGTTTACTTCTTATATACATTGAAGTGATGAAAATAGCCCAAGGATGTTATTACAAGTTGAATCGTATCCCCTCAAAATGTATGTTGAAGTCTGAGTCCTTAGTACCTGAGAGTCCACCTTGGCCAGCCCAGTTCATGGCTCCTCCCCGCACCCAACCCGAGTCCCACGCACACAGCCTCTCTCGCACGAGCTACCACGTCTGCTTTAAAGGCAGGGCTGGTGGTCTTGTGCAACACGTCCCCCTGGGTGGGTACACGGAGCACAGCCAGCTTCCTCTTGTGTTCCCAAGGCAGAGGCTTTCCCCCAACATACAGGGTCTTTCACTGCCTTTGGAAAGGAGGCTGCTTCCGGTTAGAAGTCCCCTGAACAGTCCTCAAGGCTCCGGGAAATAGGGCCCAGGGTGGGCAGACAGCTACTGCTCTTTCTTCCCCCAACCGGAAAGCCGGATCCAGGGTCTGCCTGCCGCCAAGCATTGCGCCGAGGTCAGTTAGGCTCCCTGGGCGTCACTTCTGTAATTTATTCCCGGCGGGCTGCTGGGGGGGGGGTTACAGATGAGCCGTGCAAAGCAGGCAGGTGCTCCAGAAATATTGCTTCATTTTTCCTCGCGGAAGGCCAGGTGTAAAATTAGGGCCTTAGGTGTAAGCAAACTCCTGTGTGCGCGCGCGCCTGTGTTTGGATGTATGTGCATACGTGTGTGAGAGAGTATAAACACATTTTCTCCATCTTTCCTAAACGAAACTGAACCCTGTCTCTTCAAGTGACTGGCACAAATTTTCACTTTTTAAGATAAATCTCAAAATTGAAGTGGTTCTCTATCTGGTAATGAGTTTTTCTGATTCCCTGTATAATTTCTCATGGACATGGCTGTGCACCATGCTCCAGCCATATGCATTAATACAGAAAATATGCAGAACAAGGCCCTTTAAAAAAACAGATTGTAAGGCTAAAGGCGTGGCTTGGAGGACGGGCGACGGAGACACTTTTTTTTTTTGCTTTTGCAGAGGTCCCAGATGTCTGTGCTAGCACGCCCGGCACCGCGGGCACGGCTTCTCCTTTGGCCTTTCCCAGGTACGCAGCCACGGCAGGATTCGGGCTGCGGGGCAGGCGGCACTCTCACAGTGAGTCTGGGGAGACGCCGCTCGGGCCAGAGGGAGAGGAAGAGGAAGCCGTGGCAGGGCCGGCTTCTCCGTCTGGGCCCAGTCGCCTTCCTAGGCAGCACATCCCAGCTGGCAGGCCACTTCCCCGAAAGCCCTTGTCCCAGACACCATCGGTTCTCTTTGTTGAGTGTCCCTGGGCTGGGCCTTTCTCAGCACAACTGTCGTCAAATTGTCTGGTTAATTGTGCATTTCATGAGGCCCGTGAGGGCGCAGATGGGGCCCACAGAGTTCCCTGCGGACCCTGCCACCCACTCCCCGCACTGTGCCAGGCTCACTCAGTATAAGTTCACTTTTCAGGGTTTTTTTTTTTTTTCCTTAAAAGAGTATCACAGTGATTTTGACTGTGTGGCTTCTTGCTAATCTCCTGGGTTTCTACCCAGAATCTTACCTGTTGGTCACAGACATTCCATACTGCAGACCCTGGAGCACCAGGTCTCAGCTCGGGGAGGAAACTTCATGGTCATTGGGCCCATTTCCTGACAGGCACTATTCAAACACATCTGCCAAGTGGGTGCCCAGCCTCTCCCTGAACACCGCCCCGGACAGCAAATCCACTGCCTCCCACACCTCCCCTTTCTATCTCGCGGACAGCTTGGAATGTTAAAAAGGATTCTCTAATTCTTTAGCAAAATTTTCTTCTCTCTTACTGTATCCAGGGGGAAGCATGAAACAGACAGAATTCTTTGCCCATGTGATGGCTTTGTTTCTGATTCTCTTTCATTTTCTCGGTAGGGATCTCCCAAAGCCCTTTGGGCTCGGGAGAGAATAATGCTGTATTCCAAGGGAAAGGAAGACAAGCACTGTGATAGTGATTTATTATCTTATGAAAGTCAAGTCGCCTTTTATAAGAGGGGGCATGGTCTGACTTTAATTAAAATTGAGATAAGGGAAATACGGCAGCATGGAGAGGGATGAAGCAATTTCTCGGCGAAGAGGGAAGAGCCTGCACTAGCCCAGTTCAACCCCGCACCAGGCCTTGGTCCACTCTGGCCCATCTGGGAGCAGCTCTTTCCCTACAGCAGCCTGGGGGGCCTCCAGGGTTGGGGAAATTGCTGAGACATTTGCCAGGTACATCCCCTCCAGGCTGCTCTCAGGGAGGCTCAAGACAGAAGGGACCAGAGGGACCCTTCCTGCCCCTTTTCCATCAAAGAATACGATCCAGGCGTTTCAACAGACTTTGAGCAAATGGGATCACATCGGAAACTCTCTAGGCAGATTTTCAATGTGGTTACGCGTACAAGTTTGAATCCCAGCTCTACCACTTCTTAGCTCAATGCCGGACGTGTTGTTGAGCTGCGCCTCATTCTCATTAACCATAAAATGAAGGGAATCGTGTTGACTTCCGAGAAGTGTTAACACATGGGAAGTGCTTGAGCGGTGCCTGGCACGGGAAGCAATGTTACCCCTTGCCTCTGCTCCAGGCCCCCCGCCCCCACCCCTCTGAGATGTAATTAACAGCTTGAGCTTGTACAAGTGGGGCCCCAACCCCAAAAATCAGCTTTGAAAGATAGGAAGGAGATAGCCCAGCTCTCGTCCGTGTAGAGAAGAGTGTGCAACTTCAGAGTCGACATCCACTGAGTAGGGGCTGATGCTAATGCTGGCCCCTGTTTAGAGGTTTCACTTATATTATCTCACTTAATCCTGACAATCACAGGCAACTGTATCAGAAAGAGCTATGGGCGGAATTATGTCCCTCGCTCCCTTGCATACATTGGAGCACTAATCCCAAATGTGACTGCACTTGGAGATGAGGCCTTTAAGGGGGTAATTAAGGTTAAATGAGGTCACAGCGTGGGGCCCTAATACAATAAGGCTGGCGTCCTTCTAAGAAGAGGATGTACGTGCAGAGAAAAGGCCACATGAGGCAAGCCAAGGAGAGAGCTCTCACCAGCCACCAACCGTGCCCGCACCTTGATCTTGTAATTTCAGCCACCAGAACCCTGGGAAAATACATTTCTGTTGTTTAAGCCACTCAGTCTGTGGTGTTCTGTTATGGCAGCATTAGGTGATAAACATAGAAAGTTAAGGTTACAGAAACTTACTAATAAAAGCATAAAATAAAATGTCTGGGCAGGCGGATGCTGTAGAATTTCCCACCATCCAGCCTCCATTGCCCCCAAGAGCAGAGAGGTCGGAACACCCAGGTGTCTGCCAGACACCTTTCCTTTTGCTCCTTCTTTGACTATCCCACAGGGTCTGACTTTCTCTACAGGATCATCCACACGGAATCACACAGAGTCTTCTTTACTGGTGAGTCGAGCAGTTTCGAGAGAAAATTCGATTACATGTGAGTCAACCGGACACTCTTGTTATGGTCCCTGCACTTCTGTGAAAGTGGGAACCCAGGCAAGTCACAGCCACAAAGGTCCCCTGATGTGTAAAGTTCCCTGTGGCCTTTTGGATATGTTGTTCCTTCTGCCAGAATGTTCTGACCCCTTCTTTCTTCCCCAACTTCTACTTATCCTTTTAGATTTCAGTTCATCCACTAATTGTTCAGAGGAGCCTTCCCTGACCCCTTAAATCAGTTTAAATTCCTTGATTCTATATTCTCCCAGCACCAGGAACCTTTCCTTGAAAACACTGGACAGTGTAGTAACTTTTGCTTTTTGTTTGATTACAGATTGATCAAAGCTTTGTTCCCATTAGAGTATGGTCTCTATGGGGGCAGGGACGTGCGGGGCACCGCCACCTTCCAGAGCCGGGCACGCTGCAGGTAGCTCATAACTACCTGGCGGATGAATGAGCCAAGGTACTTATCATGACTGTCCCTGAACTAGTTCCTTCCTCTGAAATATGAAGGGCGAAGCTTTCATGAGTCTTAAGCTACTTCAAGCTTGCCAAAGCACAGTGAGAATTGCTAGTGTGAGTAGGTCCCGCATGAGGCGAATGGAAGCGATAACAGTTAACTCTCCATTGGGTACCCAGACAGCAAGGCTGCTGTGCAGTCCCTGAGAAGCATCGCCGAGAGAATGTCCGGTGACCCAGTCCCCAACAGACACTTCCCTTGAGCTGCTCATATACATGGAAGGCAAACTGTCCCCAACTCCTCTCCTCTGGCTGCTGTCATCTAATGGGGCCAGTGAGCGATGGGAAAAAATGAAAAGCATAAAGATGGAAATGCCAGGTCCTGGATAACTGAAAGCCAAGTATCTTTGTTCATTCTTAGGTTGGTTCAATAAGTTGTTATTGAGCATCTGCTTTGAGTCAGGCCCTAGCGATTCAGAAATTAATGGAATGTGGTTACTGTCCTCAAGGGTTGTCGGGGAGAAACAGGGAAACAGATCATTAGAATATTTTCTCCATCTATCCATCCATCATCCATTCACGCATCCATCCATTCAATCTCTGTATTCGGACAGCCGATCTGAACAGCGTGGGTGCACACGTATCCTGGATCCTGAACGGTAGCCAGAGTGCAGCACCTGGCAGCCGCGAGTCTTTTAAGGAAGGTGGACTATGGAAAATATTTTTCTCCTGACATTTCACAAAACTAACCTCTTCCCCAAAGCCACCCCTAGTTATCAGGAGATGGAAATGGTCAGAAATGAGGAGGCAGCAACGTCGTGAATGAATAGTTTTACATTAGTCTCCATTCCCACAGAGAATTAAGAAATGACCACGTCCTGTTGGTTCGGCTGGGTGGTGTGGGTGGCGTTGCTGTTGGAGAGGCGGTGGGCCGTGGTGGCTGGGCGGGGCACTAGCCTGCCAGATGAGAGGGTGCCGGCCCCACCGGCTGCTTGCTGAGGAACTCAGGGCAAGTGTCCCTGAACCCCAGTTTTGCCCTCTGTGAAATGAGCTGGACCCGCCTCCTAGGACTGCCTTGAAGTTTAAATGACTTCATCAACGTGCTTAAAAGAACGCTGAGCACACGGCCCATACACATGAACAGAAACTCTTAGAAGAAGCCGTGCTGGAGTATCCCATCTGGCCAAACATCAAGGCATATGTGTGCCCAAGTATTCTGACTCATTTTTTAGGAAAGGAGGAATTTATTTTTCAGCCTCTTGCCAGGTCAAGTCTCTCAATGGATGGCTCAATAGTTGTCTGGACCCCGAGACTGAATCAAGATAACACAATTCAAGGCTTGGGAAGGATTCCTTATCTCTGTCTAACCTCAGGGAAGAGGAGAGCCTGGACTGAGTCAAATGCTGACATGAGCCTTGCAAAGCAAAGTGTCAGTCAGAGGAACTGGTCAGGGACATTAGTAAACTCCACAGAGGAGACCCGCCCTAGAGTCAGCTCTCAGCCACTTGCCCAAGTTCCTAATCTCTCACATATGTGCTTCACACAGCACCTTTCATAAAGCCAAACCATGCATTCTCTTCAGGATTATTGTATGTGTAACAACTGAACTTACCTGCAGGTCCCTAAATAGACAAGTATTTAAATAAAGGCATCACTGAACAGTTATACACTTCAAGAGACTCACGAGTTCGGTTCGTAAAAGCTGTGAAGAAATCTGGAAAGTTTTTCCTCTCTCTTAGTTAAAAGGTCCAGGGTGCCACCACCAGGGCAGGCTGCTGCCCTTTCTGAAAGCAATGGCACCTCCAAAATATCAGGAAGCCCATTAGGGATGACAGATGTCGCCAGGCAGTGAGTGGATCTTAGCCTCTTGTTTAGGAATATGTTGCAGTACACACTAGTGGCATCTATAATAAATAAACATCAAGAAGGGTTTCTGGCTGTGCCCGGTTCTTTTGGGAGACAGCTATTTCCTGCATCTCTGAGTTACCTAATGTTAATTCAAAAGTCACCTCCGAAAACCCTAGGTATTCCCCGTCCCCTACCACTGGGGGGTGGGCACCCAGAGGTGGGGAACACCGGCATACGTCAGAAAGGAAGAGGCCGAGATGGCAGCGGGGAGACTGGGGCTCTGGGGTGAAACCAAGGTGCTGGCTGCGAGAACGGGGTAAGTTCTTCGCTTCTGAGTCTCGGTTTCTGGGTTTATGAAAGTAGAAAGAGCTTATCTCAGGCTAAGGGAACTGGATAAGACCGCCATGGCCAGAGCGCTTTGCTACTCAGGAGGCTGTGCTCCACCTTCCTCCCTTTCTTCCTGAAGCTTCTCTCTGTGGTTTAAGCAGGGCTTCATCTTCTGCTTCCCCTGGGCCTCAGGCGAGGGTCAGGCCAGTGGCCGCTGACCCAGATGGGAATGTTCAACTGTTGGTAATGGTAGCTTGGGAGAGAAGGGGTGGGAGCGGGTGGGTGGCCGCAGTGACCTCTGGGGAGCTGCTACCTGTACGTAACCTCCCACTCAGCGAAGGGCATCGGGAAGCCCCACCTGAGCTCACTCTGGGGTACAGAGACACTTAGCATCCTTACACGCAAGCTCTGCAAACACAGTTAGTTCGGAACAGCTTTTGCCAGCTGTGGGACCATCGGGTTTCCTCATAGTTTGCCGTTCCTCATCATTAACGGGATCCCCACATTGGACTGTTAGTCTACACCAAAACTCTTTCTGTTTCTCAATGGCAGTACTCTTTTTCTTGTCTCTGGACCTTTGTCTTTTTCTGTTCTGTCCCCCCAAAACCACTCTTTCCCTTGTCTGTGTACTTAACTAACTCCTTCCTATCTGCTAGCCCCTGAGTCAGATGTCCCTTCCTCCAGGAAGCCTTCCCTGACCCCCAGCCTGGGTGCCCCACCTGGTTGCTCCCACACAGAGCTGTTCACGTCTCCATCACACCCCGGATCACCCTGGCTAGTACAGGGGAGACCAATTTCCTCTCTCCTTGGCCTGACTGAGCTCCATGTGAAAGAGGACCCTGTCATCTGTCTTCTTCATCCCATTATCTCCAATGCCTGGCACAGCGACGGGCACACGGCAGCTACTCAGGATGCATTTGTCAAATTGGACTGAACCCTGTTGTCTAAAGCAATCACGTAGACTTATACCACGTACCGGAAAAGGCCAAGGGCAGAAGACAGGGAAAGCTAGGAGCGTTCAGGCAGATTCCGATTGGACAAAAAAATATTGCTCTTTCATTTTATGAGGGAGATAGAGGCTGGACTGGTAGGGTTTTGCAAGAAAGTGGCCAGAGGGAGGATGACACTGAGGCAGCCAGACGGAGGTGGGTAGTTGGTACATTGGTGACGTCAGTAGCCTTTCCCTCTCTCCCTGTCATGCCCCGTCCCCTCTGGGCTGCATTTTCCCGCAAAGCCTATTGCCACTTCCTCCTGAAAAGCCGGAGGAGGAAGACCTGAAGGCATTCTGTGATTAGCTGCTTATTAAACTGCTCTTTCCATAGCCGATGGAACTGGCTAAAACCAGGTTTCGCGAAGACCTGATTTTTTTTGCCAGGTGCTTCATTTCATTACTGAATAAATGAATGAATGAGTGACATGGCCATGAATAAAGACATGTGGCAACTGCCAGGGCTCCCTTTGGGACCCTCTCAACCATTCTGGGAGTCCTTACCCTGTATTTTATTATTCTAAAAGATGACATGGGGTGGGAGGGGCGGGGCTTCTGTTACCTTTTACGTGACCCCCTGGAGGAGCCAACTCGGGCAGGTTGTAAATCATGAATGCTCCTCCTCATTCCAAGTTACCCTTGGAATATTCGCGCTTGGGCCAAGGTGGACCTTTCCCTCCTGTTTCCCCGCCCCCAGCTCTGACTCCCTTTTCTAAGATCACCACGAAGCAAGCTGCTGGGCTTAGGCCTTGATTTGCACAGACCTCTTGTGAAGCACAAATACCAAGGGCTTGGGTGGCATGTCCCATTATGTGGATGACATGGCCATTAGTCACCATGGTAACCTCCCTTCCCAGGGCTTTGTGGCTCCACAGGCCTGATTTACACCAGTCTCTTCCAGATCTGAAGGAAGGGGTTCTGGGGGCCCAAGCAGCACAGCTGGGAGCACCTTCCATTCATCACGTCAAGGCAAATACCCCAACTTTCAGGTTAATAGCAACGACCCCACATCTCTAGCCAGTAAACTGAGACATGTACTCTTCAAAAATCCACAATGAAAAGAAGAGGAGAATAAAAAAATAAAATGAAAAGGACACATATTTTCCATGTTTTTTTTCTTCTTACAGTAGCGAACACAGAACAGGTGGTTACAACTGCACCCAAACTTTAGACTGAACAGGCCCCAAAGGGTGGTGTCCAGATAGGCCAATGGCCACCGTGCTGTCACCCATCGGCACAGCTTTCCAAATGACTTGAAATCTACCAGCCCCTGTTTAACTTCCTTAAAAAAAAAAAAAAGGAACCCATCATCTTTGTCAACATCTCTGTACCCCACAAACTCTATTGACCTGGCAACAGAAAGAAAGAAACCCAGCACCCTCCCCTAGTGGACCCGGGGGAAATAGGTGTCATTACCTGTCTAGGCCTGGCCAGCCTCCGCGGGGACACTGTCGGAGTCCGAGTCGGCCGGCTCCGTGGCGCCTTCAGGGGCGGCCTGACTCCAGCTGTCCGACCGGTCAGAGATGGCATCCTCCTCTCCAACTGTCACCTCCACCCAATCCACGACTCCCGACTCCTCGTTCTCGTCGCTGCCCTGGCCATCCCGGCTGTTGCCCTCTGACCTGTCCGAGGTGGCCTCTGAGGGCTTTGCTGCCAAACCGTCTTTTGCTGGCTCGCTGCCCACTTTCACCCTGGGCACCAGCTTCCCCAAGTCCTCTTCGCAGAGCTTTTTGGGGTCCTTGTGGTATTGCGGCCCCGCCTCATTCCCGTTCTTTGGGCTCTCAGTGATGACAGCCTTAGCTGTTTTCCTTGACAGGGCGTCATAGCCGTGGTCCTCCGCTATGTGCTGCTGCTGGTACTGCTCCAGCCACTTCAGAGTCCCAGTTTTCAGCAAGCATCTGTTCTCCTTGAACCAACGCACAATTTCAGTTCGGACCAGGCCGGTCTTTGCCGCTAACTGGTCATATTCTTGGGGTGTAGGCCACTGGGTTCTTGCAAACGTGCTCCTCAGGAGATGGACCTGTTCTTGACTTTTTGTAATTGCTGGTGAAGGGCTGGGCAGAGAACTGACCAACTGGGCACCAGAGAGCCGGTCAAGGCGAGACAGAGCACCGTTGGGGGCCAGCACCTCCTGGCCTTTTTTCCCAGACCCCATGGAATCCAAGACGGCTTGTTCCATGCTGTCCCGAAGCTTCCTCCTCTCGGAGAACCAGGAGTCGATTTCCCTCCTGCTCAGCTTGGTCTCCACCCTTAGCCGATCCAGTTCTGCTTGGGTCGGAAAAGAACTTTTCAAAAAGCTGTCTTCCAGGATTTTCACCTGACCCTGTGTTTTCTCTTTGAACTTCTGCGGGGCAAAGTCTGGGTAGGCATGATACGTGCGGCCATGTCGGGAGGCCGCGATGGCCAGCTGGTCTTTGGCAAGGGATTCGCTGGTGATGTGGACGATGCCCCTTTGACATCGATACCGGTGGTCACTGAACCACTTCTTGATCTCACTCCTGGCAAGGCCGGTCACCTCGATGAGCCGGTAGACCTCAGCATCATCTGGGAACTGGCTCTGGAGAAAGCTTGCCTTGAGATGGGCTATCTGCTCCTTTGTCTTCTTGCGGTCGCTGGCTGGGGTTGGCACAGGATTGGGCACCCTGGGTGGGGGCTCGGGCACAGGCACAGACACAGGCACGGGCACGGGCGCGGGCACGACGTGTGGACGCTTGGGCTCAGGGGCAGCTTGCGGAGTCACCAAGGGTCTCTTCTGGCCGTGGTTGGTCACTCCGGCCACAGCAAGCGTGATGGGGGAGCAAGAGACGGTTGTTGACCCACTGGTCACCTGCGTCAGCACCAGGCTGGTCTGGCCGAGGATCTGGCATGGCACAGCTGTCTGCAGGATGGGCTGTGGCATCTTGGTGGGGGCCAGCTGGGTGGGCAGCACAGTGATTGTTGGGGGGACTGTCTGGATGGTGCCATTAAACATCTTCTTCCGGGCCTCCTCTACTTCCTCTGGGGACCAGCTGATGCCGTGCTTTAAGCGCTGGGTGGCAAACCAGATTCTGATGTGCTCTTCCGGGTGTTTGGACGCAGCCGTCAGCCAGGACAGCTCCGCCTGGGTCGGGTAGGGGAACTTGTTGAAGGAGTTGATCATGGTGGCATTTGTGTCCAGGGCAGAGTTGTATTTGGTAGTATTCAGTGGGACGGGGACTTTGGGGACAAGGTTGATATTTGGCGGGAGCTGGACGGAAGGCATGACGTGCCCTAGCTCCTGGAGCAGCTCCACGCCTCCGAGTCGCGAGAGGATCTCAGCTGCGTCTGTCACCAGGCGGGCAGTCCCTTCCATGTGGTTCTCAGGGGTTGCCTCCTCAGGCTTCTTGGGCACCTTCTTGGCATCAACTTTCGGTTTCCCTGGCTTCATGATGGGGGTTTTACTCACCGAGATCCCAGGGTCATTGTCATTGCTTCCAGGGCCACTGGTGGGGATGGACACAATGTGGTTGGTGGCTTCGATGGATTGTTCCAGGACAGTTTGATTATTGCGTTTGATTAACTTCAGCTTAAAGTTGGTCTCCCCTGGATGGAACTTGGAGTTGTGGTCAGACAAGGAGTCGTACTTTTTGGTTGTGAAATTGCATTCGGCACACACGTAGAGGGGGTTGAGAATCACGTTGGGGTGCTGCATGTCCACGTGCTCCGTGAACTCGTTCAGGTTTTGCGTGGAGTAGGGGCAGTATTTGCACTCATAACCGCCTTGGAGCTTTTTGGATGGGTTCTCCCCTGTCGATTTCACCTCTATCACTTCATTTTCTTTGGAAGAGTTTTCAGGTTCTGCTGCCCAACTATCCTTGGCCATTTCAGGCTGTGGCGTGCCGATCCCTTTCTCTTTGGCCTTGTCTCCTTCCTCAGGCACATCTTGTTCTAGTACCTGGGATGTCCGCACCATGCACGGGGTTGTAGATTTTCGTTTGCTCGCCATGCTGCCCGTCTGTGTGCGATGGCTTATTTTGGGGCGGGGATGGGGGGTGGAGCACGTAGGGAAGGGGCTATGAAATTTTTGGAACAAATAAGGTCAAAGAAAGGCTCTTGGCTTTATTCCCCCTCCAGTGACTTTGGCTTCCCTTCAATGCTGAAGTCTAGTGTTTGAGTTTCCAGAATGATCTCAGCACAGAAAATTGTAACTGCTCCAACCATTAAACACAAGAGACAGCATCGTATCTGTGGGACAAGAACAAAGACAGGGTCAGTGTTTATTTACAAGGAAAAAGAAATTAGCATTTCTTTAAAAAAATAATTTAAGCTCTTCACATGCATTTCTTTCCTTTTTTTTAACCCTCACCTGAAGATATATTTATTGATTTTTAGAGAAAGAAGAAGGGGGGAGGGAGAGAGATAGAGATGGAGGTAGATGGGGTGGGGGGCAGGGAGAGAAAAACATCGATGTGAGAGAGAAACATTGATCAGTTGCCTCCCATATGCACACTGACTGGGAATTGAAATTGGAACGTAGGAATGTGCCCTGACCAGGGATCAAACCTGCTGCCTTTTAGTGCATTGGACGACGCTCCAACCAACGGAGCCACCCAGCCAGGGCCACTAGCATTTCTTTCTAAGTTGCGCTCATGACCCATCACAACTGGCATCCAAAGCAAACACCCAGGTAAGCTTAGTTGGCGTGAGAGTGGGCACATGTAAAAATGACAGATCATGTTCTCACGTTCTTCTTCTCTTCCCTTCTTTGGGAAGGGATGTGGGAACTGGCCCAAAGCAAGCAAAGGAGAATGCAGCTGGCTTGTTCACATTTAGCGAGTGCGGATACAGTAGAGCAACAAAGGTACTGAGGCCTTCTGGGGCAGTGGGTGGGGTGGTGGAGGGAAAACCGCAGGTGAGATGTGGCTGGGCTCTCAAGTTGCTTTAATTGCTGGTATATCAGAAGCAAGACACTTTCCTGGGGCTGGCAAGTGGCATTTATATGGACATTATTAGAAAACAGATACGAATTTTTGTCGCTTGTATTAAAGATGTAATCACTATAGGTAATCCAGAAAATGCATTGAAGTATAAAGAAGAAAAGAAATCACCCCAGTATTATGGTTTCTTCATTTCCTTCATTTCCCTTGAAAGGTTTCCCATTTCTATAAATACGGAGCAAAATAATGATTTAAAAATGGCTGCAATGATACTACATTGTAGAGATGCACCATACAGGATGTATTTAGCCATTCAATTTTTATTGGGCATTTATTTCCAATTTTTGGCTCTTAACAAAATTGCAATCGACACCCTGAATCTTTATTTCTGATCACTACTTTTGGATGAATGCTTAGAGAGAAGCACAGAGTCAAAGAGAACCACTGTTTTAAGTTCTTTTGACTCAGAAGCCAGAGTTTTTGCACCAGCTGGCCTTTCCCTTGGCAGTGAACGAGAGCGGCCGGGTCACCACGCAACCTGAACAGACTGTTACCGTGAAAAAGCCTTGCCGATTATGCAGACCAAAACCGCTTTAATATGCTTTTGTCCTGTCTTTTTAAAAAAGTTATATTTTATTGATTATGCTATTACAGTTGTCTTGGTTTTCCCTCCTCTACCGCCCTTCAAAAGCACCCCCCAGTCCCTCAGGCAATCCCTCCACCCTTGTTCATGTCCATGGGTCATGCGTGTAACTTCCTTAGCTACTTCATTTCTAATGCGTACTTTACATTCCCATGGCTATTCTGTAACTACCTATTTGTCCTTCTTAATCTTCCCTTTTGTCCTTTTTCTTGATTGCCATTAAGTGCGAACAGTTTTCAAAGACTTCCTCGCAGTTTGTATTCTTTCTTTGTGAATTGTCTGTTTATGCCATTTTAAAAATCTGATGCTCAATGGTTTGATTATTAATTTGTGAGAGTTCTTTCTATATTAGGAATATCAGTACTTTATTGGTTGCAAAACTTTCCCAGTCTATCATTTTGCCTTTTAGTTTTTTGTACGGTGCTTTTCGTATTTTACATGTGAAATTTTTAATTTTCAGGTGGCAAATTTATCAGTCTTTTTCTCTTGTGGTTTCTTTCATTGTAATTTCATACAGAGAAAGAAATTCCCTGCCTTGATAGCCAAGACATACTATTTTGTGTTTTCTTAGAGTGTTTTAGCTTTATTTTTTACATTTAACTCATCTGGAATTGAACTGGTCTGGAGTTAAGCTGTAAGGCACACCTCTAGCCATTTTCTTGAAAGTTACCAATGATCTCATGAGCATGTAGTTACCTTTTCTCTTCTCACAAATTTTTGGAACCATCTTTGTATTATATTACATTTGTATATATACTAGGGTGTTTCTGGGGCATCTATTCCATGCTTCTTATCTAGCTATCGCATATATTATGCTTCACTGATTTTTTTTTTGTGGTAGATTAGAGCATGTTTTAATATCTAGTAGAGTAAGGTCCTCCTTACTATTCTTCTTTTGCAAAACAGTTCTGGGTTATTTCAATCACCTATTCATATAAATCAATTCTCATAAATCAGAATTATCTCCAAAATCAACTAGAATTTTAATTGTGACTGCATTAGACAAATGCTAATTTGGGAGCAGAGGTACAGTTTGTTTAGTAGGAGGTAGGATACATGAACAGAACCCAGCCTGGGGAACCAATGGGTTGGGCCATGTTGAGCGTCTAAATGCGTGGGCTGAGTTAGAGCGGGGTCCCCTTTTGTGGCTAACGGAGGAGGGAGAAATGTTTTTAAAAGAAGGTAGCTGACCTCCAGGGTGAGGGGAATGGAGGGAATGGAGGAGGTGGCATATCCCCTCCTGCCCCTCCCATTGGCTTGGGTTTAGATGCCGTGACAAGAGTGCTCAAGGCAGGAAGTGAAGACTTAATTTCATGAGCTGCTCTGTGGGACTCTCGGCCCACAGCCACCTGCTTAGGGGCTTAGGTGACAAACCTGAGCAGGGTGTGGGAGAGGGCGTTCCTACCTTGTGCACCCAGAACCTGGCCACCCCACGGCTGGGACTCTGCCATCTTCATGTGGGTGGGCGAGGGTCCCTCAGGGTACTCGTGAGGACAGGACACAGGCAGAGCAGAGCAGAGGGGAACCAGGTGTTTTTGATGACCACTCTCCATTGACATCTTTAGTTCCATGTCCTCACTGAACACCAGACTCTTGATTTTCTCCTCAAACATGTGTTACCCTCTCTGGAGCTCTTCTCCATCAGTGGCTCCACAATCGCTTCATTTCCACCATTGCTCCCTTGGGCCAACGACCTCTTTGCCTCACCCCACACAATTAACCCACACAACTAACCCGTTATCCATCCTGTTGACTCTGTCTTCCAAAGAAGTCAACCGTCAAGTCGCTCCCCCTTCTCCCTGTGGTGTCTCAGACACCATCATCTCCTCCTGGGGAGCCTATGGCAGCCTCTCAAGGGTCCTCTACCTCCTTCCTCCCAGAGCAGCAGACGTTTTAAGAGAGGACTCCATCCGCGCGGCCTTTCTGCACGAAGCCCTCCTCAGAGTGGGCGCCATGTCTTCACGACAGCCCGCAAACCCTGGCACGTTGGGGCCCCGGCTTCCCTCTCCCCGTCGCTCACACTCCGGCCGCTGGGACAGGCGCGTCGCCCCCACGCTGAGCCTCTGCCAGGGCCTGAGCCCCCGCCCTGGGCTCTTCCCTTTTGCAGCTCCACCGAAAAGTCATCCTGCCCGAGAGCCCTCTCCTCACGCCGGCCCATCTAGAACAATGCCTCCCCCAGTCTATTTCCTCACCCTGTTTTGCTTTCTGCATCGCACTTTTCAACAGTTAAAATTTATTTATATCCTTTGTGGTTGAAAAAAAAGGGAGGGGAGGATATTTACTGACTTGTTTGCTGTTTGTCTCTCTCTCTAGAGTTGTGCTCTTGGTAGGGCAGCCACTAGCCACACGTGGCTCTTCAAATTTAAATTATTTTTTAAAAACCCACGCTTTCAGTCACACCAGCCACATTTCGAGTACTCAAGGGCTGCCCATGGCTGGCGGCTACAGTTTTAAATAGTGTAGGGCATTTCTATTGTTGAGGGGTGCTTTACTGGACGGTGCTAGTCTAGAATAGAAACTCCATAAAGGGAGAAACCTTTTGCTGTGGTTTCCCCAGAGCCCAGAACAGCACCTGGCACACAGCACGTTTTCTATAAATACTGGCTGAATAACGAAGTTAACTGAAGAGTGGCTACCCAGTGGAAGCTGTAGCTGATATAGATTAATGAGGTATAGACGTGCCTCATCTGGGTGCTTAGTAGTGTGTGTGCATGTGCCTGTGTGTGTCTGTGCCACTTGTGTAATGTGTGCACGTGTGTGTCTTGTTTGTATGTACTGGGCCTTGTATGAGTAGAGGAATTCTCTAAGGGGAAGGAGCCCCCACAGGAGTTCCTATTGAAATGGCAGAATGTGACTTAATTTGTACCCTGTAGTCAAGAGGCTTGGGCGTTTGAATTATAATCTTTTAAAGGGAGGGAGCAAAAGGAGACTTTTCTCCTGCAGAACAAAGGCATCAATCAGGCAGAAGTGGGTGTAGGGGAGAAGAGACCTTTCTCAGAGAAACTCCCGGTGTCTAGAATTATTTAAATCTTTGAAAAGTGAGGCTGAGAAATGAGCCCCATTGAGGTGAGACATCCTAAAAGCTTCCCAATGCTCCCCAAACTGTGGTTCAGAATAAACAGCATCTTCTAAAATTTAATTGGCAACCAGGAAGCCAAACCACAGCTGACTGAAAGGAAGGAATGGTGAAGAAAGGGAAGAGAGAAAGGGGGAAGGGCCCAGGAAACGCCGAGCCTTGGAAGAATTCATCTCTCGGCATCCCACTGGGGAGCGACGAGGACCACTGCTCTCGGGGGACTAGTCGAGGCTCAGGAAGGGGCTGAGTGTCTGCAGAGCCACAGAGGGAGTGGGTGTCTCTTTGGGAGCCTGGGAGCTGTCAAGGGAGCAGCAGGGTCTCGAAGCCGGGGTGGGGAGGCAGGAAAGGAAGGCGTGTCAGTGAAGGTAAGCGTCCCCAAACCAAGCAGATGAACAGCCATCGTAATTGACCCCAAGTTAAACAGTCAGGGCCAGGGCTGCTAAAAGACACTCTTTTCTCCAGCCTCCAAATTTGTCCTGTAAGTAGATATTGAGGGCTCTTCACTGAATACCTGGAACTTCCTCACATGAAGTTTGGACTTTCTTCCCCACCAACGAATGGCCGGATGCTTTGGCTTTAAATGTGGCAA